GGTCGGATCAGGGTCAGAAAGGGCGGAGGTTAAAGAATGATGGGTCATTTTGGCCAGGTGCAGACAGGATGCTGAGTGGGCAGTCCATCTCTAGAGTTGCTTGTGCATAAGACCAAAGACCGGCTTGAATGGCCGATGATTTATTGTTAGCACAAGCTACAGATGCAGGTGAAGAAGGCCTCGTGCCATGGTGAGAAGCTTGGGCTGCTCTAAAGGGAGTTATCGAAGCATTTATAGGATAAAGGAATGGAGTGTTTGGGGTACATTGTGGGAAAAAATCGTAAAGTCATGATTTCTTTTCTCATCAAACTCTAGGGGACAAAAAGCAGTATGAGAAAGACATAAAACTCTAGAGGACAAAAAACAAAGTGAGAAAAGCAAGTTGAATATGGAGACACATACATGTCAGGAACTTTCCTCAAAGTAGGTTTAGAAATGTGTAAACAGTTCGGTACAATACCCTGAATGCACGCACATGCACATGCGTGTGTGTTTCCATTTTAAAGTCCAGGAACCTAATAACAAAAAGATAAGCAACTCAATTGAAATACAAAGGGTATGAACAGCATTGGGTTTGTGTCTGCAGGGAGCTCCAGGCTTATCCACGAATCTAGGGCCAATTTGTATTACTGATTTCACATCTTGGGGGCGTACTATAATATTAAATTTGAACTCCAAGGCCCTTTGAGTGAGGGTAAGGCCCTGGAGAGGCTTGCTTTGACACCCAGTTGGTTGAATTAGAATATTAAGTAGTCAGACCAATACTGCTCTTTCCACAGACCATGAATCCCAAGGCAAACGCTCCAGGCAGCCAGTGAGGAAGACCTTATGGCCCCGTCTTATCTTAGTCTGTTTGCTTTGCTATAAAGGAGTACCTGAGGCTGTGTAACATATAAGGAGGTTTACTTGGCTCAGGGTTCTGCAGGCTCTGCAAGAAGCCTGGTGCCAGCAGCTGCTTGTGGTGTGGGGGCCTCAGGCTGCTTTCAGTCAGGGCAGAAGGCAGAGAGACAGACAGACAGACAGACAGACAGATGGATGGACACTGCCCTTATGACTCAAACGCCTCCCATTAGGCTCCACCCAGCACTGGGGATCCCATTTCAGCATGCATTTTGAAAGCTCAGATATCCACAGCGTAGCAGCCCCCATCTCCTAGGGCAGTGTGGCGGGGGGTCTGAAAGCCACCAGGGTGTGAAAGTGAGGTTACGCTTTTCACTGCAAATTCAAAGATGCATAAATGATCTCGTTCTGCTTGTTGCTCCTCAGCCTGCAGATTCTGGCGTGAATAACTTGGCTTTTCCATCGCCACGCCGTACCCATCTGTTTTCCTCAGACTGTTCTTTACTCAAAGTTTTGGGTGAAGAACATGCTGCTTCTGATAAGTGGAGTTGGGGCTGAGGGTGAGAGTGGCTGAGAAGGTGGCAGGCAGCCGTGGTGCGAAGGGAAAGCTTTTTAGATGCCGCTGTGCTCAGGAATGAAGTCAGGGCAAGCCTCGGGGAGACTAGACTAGACGAGTGTGGGGTGAAGTGGGGCAGTCACAGCAGAGAGAACACCAGACAGATGCACCGGGCGCCCAAGTGAGGGCTCGGGGTCCTGGAGGTGACCCCTGGTCCAAGTCAGCAAGACCATTTCTGTCACGGTGCAGGTTTCGGCTCTATAGTTGGCTCAGGATGTTACCCGGGATGCTTGCCTCAGAAGGGTGTTGTTTGTTTTGAGACAGATTCACTCTCTGTTACCCAGGCTGGAGTGCAGTGGTGCGATCTCAGCTCACTGCAACTGCTGCCTCCAGGGTTCAAGCGATTCTCCTGCCTCAGCCTCCTGAGTAGCTGGGATTACAGGCGTGCACCACCAAGCCCAGCTTATTTTTGTATTTTTAGTAGAGACGGGGTTTCACTATGTTGGCCCGGATGGTCTCGAATTCCTGACCTCAAGTGATTGATCTGCCCAGCTTGGCCTCCCAGATAGCTGGGATTACAGGCATGAGCCACCATGGCTAGCCTCCTCAAGGGTTTTATCTGGCTAAAATGAGAACTTTTATGTGAAAACACCATAAAGCATCACAGAGTTGTAAGGAATGTTGAAGTCATGATAATGAGCTGCAGCAGGCATCCTCTCATTCCATTCCCAAAACAAATCTCCCCTCAATGTTTCATGACTGTTTTTACTGAGTAATAAAATATTAAAATATTTTCAAAAGCTGTTGTCATGAAGACAAGATATTATTTAAAAACTCTGATTCAGTGGACTAACTTTTTAAATATTAAAAAGAAAGTCCTTTGAAGTGGCTGCTGCATACATGGTTGTGTAATTCACACATCATAAGCAGTATTTAAACTGAGGTAAAGTACCCTTTTATGATTAACGTGGCTTATCAAGAAATCATCTCCGTGTTGTTTATGTACTTGGGTAAAGTTAGCAGTTTTTCAGCCATGCTTTTGTAATGATTTTTTGAACCATATCATTATTTGTCTTTTTTATTCACCTTAAGCTCTGTGACTGAGCGAAAGAGGCTTGCTGCCTAATGCTCTAGAAGCCAGTGTTAGGAAGAAAAAAGCTTTTTCATTGCAAGTCAACTAATGAGACATTAGTCCAGCTCAAATTTGTCTCCCCGTGCGGTCTTTAAGGCAGTGATTTTATTAGAAAAGGTGTAGGGGATAGATTCTCAGATTAGTTAATGAATGGTGGAAGGAAGGGGAGATCTGGACAGTCCTCGGACAGTGCAGTTGTCTGTTTCATCATGCTTCCTCGTGGATTGCATGTGCAGATTCACGGGGAGTTAGTATGAAGCATGGTGGAAATTGGGGCTCTGACGTCAGCAAGCTCTTTCTATGCAGACTCCTTTGGCCATGTTGGGTCCAACCAATTTCAGCCAGTTTTTTTTTTTTTAATCTCACAGGCAGAGGGAGTTTTAGTGTTTTACTAAGTTGTTTCTTTTCTTATACTGCCATCCAGCAAATGCAGAAATTTCTGTTAGTCATTGGTTTCTTTAACTCTCTAGGGCGCAGTTTCAGCTCCAACTCGGTTTAATGAATTCTCTAAATCACTGGGCAAACGGAGAAGACGCTCTGGTTTAGTGTAATTAAACTGGGTACTGTGGTTTATATTCCACAAAGGCCATCGCACTTTAGTGCACCAGTAATCTTTTTGAACAGCTGTCTTGAGTCAAGTGTTTGGCAAAGCTCATTTGAGTCTTCATCCAAATCCCAACTCTGCCATCAGGGTCAGGGTCACTCTGCTCATTTGTGGGTTTTTAAAAATTCAGTGTCAGCCGGGTGGGTGTGGTAGCTCACACCTGTAATCCCAGTACACGGGAAGGCTAGATGGGCAGATTATTTGAGGTCAGGAGTTCAAGACCAGCCTGGTCAACATGGCGAAACCCCGTCTCTACTAAAAATACAAAGATTAGCCTAGTGTGGTGACATGTGCCTGTGTTCCCAGCTACTTGGGAGGCTGAAGTACGAGAATCACTTAAACCTAGGAGGTGGAGGCTGCTGTGAGCCAAGATCATGCCACTGCACTCCAGGCTGGGTAATAAGAGCCAGACTGTCTCAAAAAACAAAACAACAACATATGTCAATTTGTTGACGTAACAAATGTCATTCTGCATTCTCCAATTTGTCTGTGGGGTGTGTGTGTGTGTCTGTGTGTGCGTGTGTGTGTGTGTGAGAGAGAGAGAGAAAGAGAGAGAATGTGTATGAGGGGTACACATGCCTTTCTCCCCACTCCCTCCTCCTCAGTTATTTCCCACTTAGTGGAATCTATCTGCGGTATTCAAAGAACCTGTTGAGAAAAGTTTGATTTGGGGCATTTGAAGAGTCTACAGAGTTAAGATTTATTTCAAGAAATAAGATAAATCTTTTATTATTAGAAAATTAATCATTTATCATTATGTAATTTACCAAATAGATAGTTATGAAATTTTGGGTCTTGTATGCCTGGGCTGTCAGGTGAAGTCCAAAAGAGTTATATAGTTTATCTTTCTGCAGTTGTACTTACGAGGAATTTCTGTGTTGGTGAAATACGTATGTGCATATGGAGTTGTGTGGAAAGGTATGTAGGTACATAGGCAAATATATTTCCCATTCAGCGTGATTGTTTATACAACCACATCCAAAGTGCACTACAAAATGAACTTCTTAAAGAATAATTTTAGGCCAGGTGTAGTGGCTCACACCTGTGATCCCAGCACCTTGGGAGGCTGAGGCAGGTGAATTGCCTGAGGCCAGGAATTCAAGACCAGCCTGACCAACATGGCGAAACCCCATCTCTATTAAAAATACAAAAATTAGCCCGGCATGGTGGCAGGTGCCTGTAATCCCAGCTACTCGGGAGGCTGAGGCAATAGACGATCTTGAACCCCGGGGTCGGAGGTTGTGGTGAGCTGAGACCATGCCACTATACTCCACTATACTGGGTGACAGAGCAAGACTCTGTCTCAAAATAATAATAATAATAATAATAATAATAATAATAATTTTAAAGGGATCGTCATTTGGCACTTTAAGGAAAACGTTTGCCAGCCTCAATCTCAATAATACTGGAAAATGGAACTTCAGCTTATTTTACCAGTGAATCAATTACTTGGTCAGTGAATTTTTATGAGTGTCCACTGTGCTCCTGTTATTGTCCTAGAGGTTGATAAATCCTTCAGAATTCCTCAGTTATAGTGCACAGATGAATCTGAATCAAAAGACATGCTATTGATTCAAATACGTTATTGTGACCAGACAGCACAGACTGTGACATGGTGGAAAGCACAGGTGCTTAAGCCCTAGCAGTGTTGTAGAGTAGCAAGAGCATCAGCCTGCTGTCCTTGTCAGTAGCTACTTTACGGTCTCCTAAGCAGGTGTTATCATGGCTTCATCCACTTCCTTCACTTTAAAATACGGACTGGATTGCATCGGATGACCTCAAGAAGGCTTTCTGGCTCTGGAAGCCTTCCTCTATGAAGTGTATGGAGGTCTGTAGTCTTCTCTCTGACGGTTGTACTGTTTCCACAGGGTGTTACCTACTGTGGAGAAAGTTCAGCAAGCAGTCTTACCATGGCCCACGTGCCCTGGCATGAGGAAGTGGTGCAGTTTGTCCTTGAGCTGGTGGATCTGATCCCTGACTATGAGATTGCATGTGAACACGAACACTCTAACTGCCTCCTGATAGCGCACAAAAAGGTAAGCCTAACTCAAACATGCGTTCTTCTGTCCCTCCAGCCCGCTGTTCTTTCCTTCTCTCTTTATTTTCTTCTTACTTTGCTATGGGGATTATCTGCTTGTTTGCTACCTTTTATAAAACAAACATTAAGAAAGTCCTAAATTCTGTCTGCTGGGCTCATAAACTCTTTTCTGTGTGAAATTGCTTCTGTTTAGCCCTCATCTGGATATCTTGAGGTACTTTCGGGTTTGCAATTTTTAGAAGGTGCATTCGTACAAAACAAAAGCAGGATATCCTGCTTTTGTAATAACGTCTAGTCGTTTCCTGGAATGACAGGGAAAAGCTAAAAAAGTTAATAGTCCCCATATGAGTTTCTAGCTGCCAGAAGCAATATAGAGGTATCTATCAAATTTTAGATTGCTTTGAATCTTGGCATCTGGAGAATTTTGTGTAAAATTTTAGTTTGTAACACTATTTCCATTTTTCCCCTTCAGTCCTTTTATTAGATAGGACAAGTACACAAATCTATTTTTCTTAACTAAATAAGTCCTACTAAAGGAAAAATCCAGTTCTTCATAGATGTAGGCCACTAAAATAATTTGTTAATTTTCTGGAGAAGTTCTAGAAATTTTCTTAGTCTTTATTTCTTTAAATACTTATTCTTTCTCATTATTTTTTCTCCTCTGGGACTCCAATTAAACACATGTTAGATTTCACTATATTTTTTATATCTCTTGCCTTCTCATTTGTGTTTTTTGTGCTTTTGTCTCTCCGTCTCTCCATAGTTCATTTTGGATGGTTTCTATTGATTCATATTCCAGTTCACTAAGTCTTGTTTCAGCCGCGTCTCCTGTGCTATTAAACTCAGCCATTAATTTTTGATGTTACATTTCATGTTTTTTAATTGTATAATTTCTGCTTGGTTTGTTTATTTCAAATCTCCTATTTTGTAAAATTTCTGTTTCACTGCTGAAGTTTTCAAGCTTGGCTTTTATCTTCTTGAGTACTGGAAGCGAGTTGTTTTATGGTTTGTGTCTGATAACTCCAATGTCTAAAGTTCCTGTGGGATTGCTTCTGGTGTCTGTCATTTCTGCAAGTTCTCATTCATGTTGCCTTGTCTTCTCCTGTGCCTTGTTACCTGTGATTGCGTTCTGTACGTTGCATTTAAAAGAGTACTTCTAGAAATCCAGTCAAGCCTAGGAACAGAAGGTCTCTTCTGAGGTGTTCGAAATGTGTGATTTAACCCTCTCACTTTTTCCATGTGGAAACTGAGGTCCGAATGAAGAGACTGGCTTAAATGGCTGGTCAAACTGGAACCACAATCTTCCCTCCCTGTAGTCCACTGACCTGTTTTATGCTACAAGGCGTCTTTCCAAACCATTGGCAATATTCAAAGGAACATTTAAAACAAGACAATTTAATGTTAGTCCAATACTTTACTTCACTCTGTAAGATTTCTCCTCTCTTCCCATGAGGATAGAGGAAATAGACAGCAAACCATCTAATTCAAGCCGATTCCGTTCTCTTGGTGTTTACTGAATGCCTGCTGAGTTCTGGACACCAGGCCATGCAGCAAGGCACACAGTGCTCAGACATGAATAATGAAAGCCACAGGGTTAATTGGAAAGTAGACTTGGCACAAATCTCACACCACCACTTGTTAACTTGGTGACTGTGCAGGTTCTTCCATCTTTCTGTAGTGGACTGAACAAGAAGAGATTATGCATGGAGTCAGATTGAGTAGAGCCTCAGTCTTGACACGTCTCTTTTTAGCTTTTCATCTGGAAAATGGGCATATTGCTAGCTAAGGCCATTGCCTTGAAACACTTCACATTACCTGCCTTACAGCGTGATTCAGTTGTTGCTGCTTCCATTATTTTTATTTTTAGAAAACCAGCTAATTTGGTGCATGCTTAATATGTGACACACACTGTCAAGTATATTTTTAAATCCTCACAGCTTCCCTGTAAGGTCGGTACTATTGAGATCTTGGTCTTTTTTGTTGTTGTTGTTGTTGTTGCCCAGGCTGAAGTGTAATGGTATGATCTTGGCTCCCTGCAACCTACACCTCCCGGGTTCAAGAGGTTCTCCTGCCTCACCCTCCTGGGTAGCTGGGATTACAGGCATGTGCCACCACACCTGGCTAATTTTTGTATTTTTAGTAGAGACGTGGTTTCACCGTGTTGGCCAGGCTGGTCTCGAACTCCTGACCTCAAGTGATCCACCCACTTCAGTCTCCCAGAGTTCTGGAATTACAGGTGTGAGTCACCAAGCCCGGCCTGACCTCTGTCTGTGAATGAGAAACAGGCATATAAAGGGGTTCAGTAACTTGCCCAAGCAGAAACAGCCAGTAAGGAGTAGAAATGGGATGTAAGCCCTGGCGTAACTCCAGAGCCTATATTCCCTTCTTTCCTTCCTTCTTTCTTTTTCTTTTGTTTTAAACTTGGAAATTATTTCAAATATACAAAAAAGTGCAATGAAAAAAATAGAACAAAGGACCCAGATTTGCAGAATCACCTGTACAATTTTTCTGCCATTTACTTGTTTGCACGCGTGCACTCTCTCTGTCTCTCTGTCTGTCTCTGTCTCTCTCATGCTCTTGCTCTCTCCCTCTCCCTCCCTCCCTTCCCCTCTGCCCCCTGCATGTACGTGCACACATCTGCTGTCTTTTCTGAGCCATTTGAAGAATTGTTGCATTGGTCATGGTCCTTTGCCTCTAAATGTTTCAGTGTGAATTTCTTGAGACTAGGAGTATTCTCTCTTAGAACCACAGTGCAGTTCTCAACTTCTGCATGACTTTCCTCTACCATCCATATTCAGATTCTGTCCGTTCAGCTTGTAATTCAGCTTGTAATGTCCTTTATAGCACTTCCCCCTCCAGTTCATTCAGGATCTACTCTGCAGGAGTCAGCAAACTTTTTTTATAAAGAAAATGTGGGCTGGGTGCGGTGGCTCATGCCTGTAATCCCAGCACTTTGGGAGGGAGACTGAGGTGGGTGCATCATTTGAGGTTAGGAGTTCAAGACCAGCTTGGCCAATGTGGTGAAACCCCATCTCTACTAAAAATACAAAAATTAGCCAGGCGTGGTGGCGGGCACCAGTAATCCCAGCTACTCGGGAGACTGAGGAAGGAGAATGTCTTGAACCCAGGAGGTGTAGGTTGCAGTGAGCCGAGATCATGTCACTGCACTCCAGCCTGGGCGACAGAGTGACTCCATCTCAAAAAAAAAAGGTGATATAAAATAAATATTTGAGGTTTGCAAGCCATATGTAGTGTGCGTCAGATATGTTTAATATTTTTAGTATTTAGTAAAAAATAATTAATATTTTTTATATTTTGTATTTTGTGTCTTTGCTTGTTTACTCATTTTACAACCTTTTAAAAATGCAAAGACTGTCCATAAAAGAGGTTTGTGAGCTAAGTGTAGCCAGATTGGGCCTACCAGCCCAGTTAACCAACCCCTAATCTAGGCCACATACTACATTTTGTTCTCATGTCTCTCTAGTCACCTTAAATTTGGAACATTTCCACAGTCTTTGTCTTTTATGATGTTGGTATTTTAAAAGAATACAGTTTCATCCCTTCCCTTTCTTTTAATAGAAATGTTTCTTGGTGAGACGCAATGGTTTACACCTCTAATCTCAGAATTTTGGTAGGCTGAGGCAGGTGGATACCTTGAGCCCAGGAGTTCAAGACCAGTCTGGGCAACATAGTGAGACCCCATCTCTATTTAAAAGTAGGAAAATTACCTAGGTGCTGTGGCACGAACCTGTAGTCCCAGCTACTTGTGGGGCTGAGGTGGGAGTATCATGTGAGCCCAGGAGGTCAAGGCTGCAGTGAGCCATTCATCATGCCGTTGCACTTTGGTCTGGGCAACAGAGCGAGACCATCTCAAAAAAAAAAAAAAAAAAAAAGAAATGTTTTTTGTTATATATTTGCCTGATTTTTCCTTTGGTTAGATGGAGGCTGTGCATCTTCAGGTGGAATGCTGTGTTGGCGATGTGTCTGTTCCAGAGTGTCATGCCTGGTGCCTGGCGTCCATGTCTCCCACATTGGTGGGAATAATTTTGTTCACCCAACTACTTTAGCCCGGTTCTTCTGTTTCTCTCCTTTGCAACCAATAAGCTGTCTATTAAAAGGTACTTTAAGATAATGCAGTATCTCACTTCTTACCAAAATTTCCCCATAGATTTTAGCACTTATTGATGGTTCCTGCCTGATAAAATGTTTTATCGATTGTAAAATATTGATTTTTTGTAACTGTACCACTCCTTCCACATTTACCTTCAGCATTCTACTGTAAACAAAAGCCCTCCCTTTCCTCCCATTTATGTATTTATCTGTTTTCTGCGTGGACTCGGGAATTCTATTTTCTGTCCCAGTGATTCATTAGTCATCACTGTACTTACTTTAAACCACTGTCCTAGACTCCCTGTTCCTTTCTCTCTGTCTCTCTATCACTCTAATTAAATCTCTTGTATCCTTATTCAAAATTGGTACTAATAGTATTGCTTTCAAGGTCATTATCAAGATTAAAACTAACATATTTAAAGTACCTAGAAGGACTCCAGCCTGAGTGACAGACTGAGACCCCATCAAGAAAGAAAGAAAGGCAGGGGAAGAAAAGAGAGAGGGGGAAGAGAGAGGAGAGAAGAGAGAGAAAGAGAGAGAGGAAAGAGAAAGAAAGAGAGAAAGAGAGAGAGAGAGGAAGGGGAAGGGAGGGAGGGAGGGAGGGAGGAAAGAAGGAAGGAAAAAGAAGGAAGAAAGAGAGAAGAACCTAGAAGGGAACCCAAAGTGAAATAGGCAGTTAACAAATAGTTGTTACGACTGCTTTTATTGGTCTTCCCCTGCCCACAAGGAGCTCACTCACATTTAGAGGGGAGAACGACTGAAAATCAGTGTGATCATTGCAAAACCAGACATGGCACCAAGTATGCACCAGGAAAGAGGAGAGAGTCTGAGATAGACCCTCATTGTTCTCTTTAATGTTTGTTAAATACCATGTGTGTCAGCACATGG